TGTCCACCCCTCCCTCCCTCCCTCCCACATTGATTGCCACGTGACTTCCCTTGGTGAAAAATCGCCATGAACCAAATCCGTTAAAAAGACGAGCGTGATCACTGTCATGTCAAGGGTGGTGAAGACATATAGGACGATACGGTTCCACCCGTCTAATATGCAACAGGACGACTATTAAGCCACGTGAAATCTTCAACAAAAACAAAAGAAGAAGAAGAAGCAGAAATTCAAAACGAGAAGCCTAAAACCAGCACCGCGCAGTTTAAGTTTCAACAACAAGTACATGGTCGCGCCGCGCTGCTCACGACGTATCCCTTCAGTCGCTGGCAGTGTATTTCTCTTTTGGAAAAACTAAGCGGGAGTCACAAAAACGAGTTATAATTATGGCACTATGGGCCAAGATACAGTTTCGAAAATAAAATATAAAAAAAGAAAAAAGGATACAGTTTCGAACTGGAGTTTGGGCAATGTATACAACCCAACTTTCTGGCGAGGTAGAAGGGTGCCCGAAGTGCAATTGCAAACTGTATCTTGCCCCGTAGTGCAAATTATAACTCGTTTTTGTGACTCTACTGGAGTCACCCTCTCTTTTCTTTTTTCTTTCTTTTTTTGGTTTCCCGTGTCCTCTGTGGCGGACGACGTCAGAAGAGCACATAGTGTTCCATCATAAGGGTATATCGTGCACGAGGGTGGATTCGACCGACACACAAGACGTGCAGCAAGCTAAAACCATCAACTTCAACTTCAACTTCAACTTCAACTTCACGCCTTGAATTTCCCACGTCACAGAAAAACAACCTGCAACACAACAGCATGAGCCGCTAGCCTTGAAGTCTGTGCTCGCTGCAGAGGAACACTTCGTAGACCAGCTGTTTGCCCCCGATCGCATTCCACGTGGCGAAATGCTAGGTAGATTGCAGAGCGACCGGACAAACTGTCATGCTGGTAGTCAGCAAAACCAGCTACAAAGCGGCGACTGCTGAAAGTGAAGAGGACGCCGGGACGGAGCTAAAGATCCGAAAACAAAACCTTGAAAAAAAGCAAAACTTGTGAGAGGTTTGCTATGCTTGCAGGGGTCCCTGTATAGGATTAGGAGGAGGAGTAGGTTGGTAGTTAAAA